AAGTCTACTTTGCAGTCAATAGTTGCTTTGTCTACAACATAGGCAGAGTACATGGCTATTACAGAGGTTGTGAAGGAGGCAATTTGGCTTCATGGGTTGCTAAAGGAGCTTGGTATTGAACAAAAAAATATTACAAACTTTTGTGATAGTCAAAGTGCTATTCAATTAGCGAAGAACCAAGTTTATCATGCAAGGACGAAGCACATTGATGTTCGGTATCATTTCGTACGAGAAATCATAGAAGAAGGTGGAGTCACAGTGAAGAAAATTCATACTACGGAGAACCCTGCTGATATGCTGACAAAAGTGGTGACTGCGGTCAAGTTTCAACATTGTTTGGATTTGATCAACATTGTTGAACACTAAAGATTGAAAATGAAGACACAACCAAAATTTGTTATTGAGAGAAAATTGAAGATGTGGAATTTTGTCAAGGTGGAGATTTGTTGAAATTGTCAAAAGTCTCACATCGGTGGATGACAATTTTGAATGGAAATTTCATCCTATAAAAGGAGGCCTAATGTTTAGGATTTAAACACACCTCTCATTTGCCTTTTTTATCTTCTTAAGGCATTTGTATCTTCTCTCTTTAGTATTATTTCACTTGTAATTTTGGAGTGGAATAAAAATATTGATTGTGTCCGAGGAAGTAGGCAAAATTGGCCGAACCTCGTAAATTCTGGTGTTCTTTTATTGTTGTCTTATTGTCTTGTTTATTATTTAGTGGTTGTCATAATTTTTGGTATAATAGTTGTGACTCATTCACACTATATACATTTGGCTTCCGCAACACATATAAGGCTGTTATGTATGATTATGTTTGACGACTGAAAACCAGTTTGCTAGGAGTCTCTCTAATGAATCAATAAGTATTTGTACTCTTTGCCAGTTAAACCCGACCATGAGCATCATAATATTCTTGTCTTGATTAAGAAGAATGATTCATCCTACTGCGTGAAGTTTCATTTCCAGTATGTCGAAATGTTGTAGCTCTCCGCTATTATAAATTTGGTGTGTGTGTGTGTGCGCGCGCGCGCGCATAATCAGGGACAACCATCCGAAAGTTTTAGGAAATAATTAAACTTGCATTGTCAGGAGTTGACAGCAATATTGTTGTTGTCGAGAATTGTCTGAATATCCAATCCCTTCTGGCCCATTGCTCAAACCACGTCTAGAAGTCGAAAAGGGGGAATACTGGATAGAATTGATGAGCAATGCATGTAGCAATTAAATCAAATAGTACTGTAATAAATGTAAGTTGTTCTCTCCTTCAGTAGTTGTTTTTCAAGTTTTTACTACTTACCTTTGCTTGCGTGTTAATTCCTTTTATTCGTTATATCTTGTTGAGCAGTGTGTAGCGTCTATTTGCACAGTGAAGCCGAGGAAGCATCTTTGCTCGAAATGAAATTTAAGGTTAGCTGTCAAAAGAGTTACTTATATGTTGCAACTGCAGAAATCTTTATACATTATGATACAAACATATTATAAATAGGACTAATAATTTGCTCTAGGAAGCAGTTAGCACATATATTGCAATTCATATATTCTTCTGAAAACATATCTCACTCTTCATCTTACTTGTAGTTTTGTAGTTCATGTCTTGCTTGAACTTTCATCTTTATTGCAATTCATATATTCTTGTTCTTTCCCTTTTCAGTAAGTTGATGAAGGAGGAGGTGGTTTAGAGTAATGCACAAGTCCACTATTGAATGCGAAGCTCTAATAGAATTCAAAGGTATACACGACACAAAATTTGTCTCCTATCTATTAAAAATAGAAAATGAAAGTTGGTTCTCCTAAGCTTGGAGTTCTTTTTGATAACTGCTTATGTCCCAAGAGAATTTGTCACAAAATTCGTCTCCTAAGAGAATTAAGTTTTATCACTGCTGGAAGAAGGGCTTCCCTCGTCTCTTTCTGAGCTCCATCGGCTACCAACAGTAGATCTTAGGTGCCTTACAGTTTGAGTTTCACATTAAAGGCTTGTTTCTCAGTTTGACTAAATGAGGGGAAAAGACTACGTCCTCTTTGAGTATTTATTCTCTGATGATTTGCCAAGTTTTTTAGACTAGATCTTGTTGCTCTGTATGGGAAGGAAAAGCCGGGAAGAGAGTTATTCAAGGTTCATTCTTATGTGAAGTTCCCCTCTCAATTTCATGGACACATGGTGAGGATCCGACAGTGGCGCTCTGACATATGTAATTTTCAAGGCTTCTCTTGGCTTGTTTATTAATTGCTTGTCTTTTCTAATATTCTAGACTACTATGCATCATTTATTTCTGTTGCAAAAACTATTAGTCCCTTCATTCCTTCTCTTAGGAAAACTGCTTTATCCCTGTAGAAAAACTGCTTGAAGAGATTTTGCAAATAATCTTGTTCTTTTTAGTAGTAATCGATCTATTGATTTTCACTGATCCAAAATAAAAGTAATATCATGATTTTCAAATTCCTTGTTACTTCTGCTTTTTGATAGTCAACACTAATGCAATTTATCAGCAATTGGCAGTGTAGTTGAAAGGATGAGCAGGAAGTCAGATTGTCTACATTAATGTATGGCTCATCCAACAACAAATTGTTCGAATATGGTAGTTATATGGTAGTTCATCCTCCAAAAAGCCTTTTAACTCTTTTGAGCGACTTGAATTTGCAGAGATGCTGGAGTGGAAGCAGTGGCACGTACTAGGGAATGGAAAGTTTCCTATACTTCAGAATCTTTTAATTAAAATTTGCCCCAAGTTGATTGGGAGGTTTCCTGAAAATCTTTGTTCTCTGACAATATTGACAATTTCAAATTGTCCGGAACTCAATCTGGAGACACCTATCCAACTTTCAAGTCTAAAACAGTTTGAAGTTGAAGGTTCTCCTAAGGTTGGAGTTCTTTTTTATCATGCTGATTAGCCACTGCAAGAAGCTGAAGTCGCTACCAGAACATATGCAGGAACTCCTTCCATCTCTTAAGAAACTGGAACTGCAAAATTGTCCAGAAATAGAGTCTTTTCCTGAAGGAGGATTGCCCTTCAATTTAGAAGTCCTTAAGATTTGGAATTGCAACAAACTGGTGAATGGGCGAAAGGAGTGGCGTTTACAGAGACTCTCCTGTCTAAGAGATTTAATCATCTACCATGATGGTAGTGACGAAGAAATTCCTGCTGGTGAGAATTGGGAGTTGCCTTGCTTTATTCGACGGCTTACCATATACAATCTGAAAACATTTAGCAGCCAAGTTCTCAAAAGCCTCACCTCTCTTGAATCTCTATGTATTCAAAATTTACCTCAAATTCAGGCACTACTGGATGAAGGGCCTCCCTCGTCTCTTTCTGAGCTTACATTTCGTCGCCTCACTTCGCTGCCTTGCTCCCTCTCTAAGCTGCATATCTGGAATTGCCGTAATTTCCAATCACTTCCAGAATCAGGGCTGCCCTTCTCCCTCTCTGTGCTCGAGATCGAGAATTGTCCTAATCTCCAATCTCTTTCAGAACCAGCGCTGCCCTCCTCCCTATCTAAGCTGGTCATCTGGGATTGCCCTAAACTCCAATTCCTTCCATTAAAAGGATGCCCTCTTCCATCTCTGAACTATATATTTCTGGCTGCCCATTGCTCAAACCACAGATAGAATTTGACAAAGGGGATTACTGGACAAATATTGCTCATATTCCGACCATATATATCGATCGTGAATACCTGTGATGACTAAAATGAAGGTGTTATAACAGATGTAAGTTATTCTACTGGGTGAAGTTTCATTTCCAGTAGAAACTAGAAATAAATAAATTAGATGGTATTTCAGAATGGAAGTGATTCTCCAAATAAATATTGTTATTATTTTTTAAAACTTCTTTTGCTTTTTCATTATTTTTTTTAAAAATCTTTTAGACTATTGAGCATCATTTATTTATGTCGTGAAAGCTATTCGTCCCTCTGTTTCCCTGTTTCTGATCTCCAATTCTCCAGTCACGTCCTGTACAACATGAATTGTTTATGCATATATAAAACCAAGAGTTGAAACCAAAAACCAGGCCAACCTTTACTTCTTTGTAATTGTTGTAGTCAATGCACACTTGGTGAATTGGCCAAATCTGGTGCATATCCTCGCCCACATTCAGATCGTGTCGGATCGCTGTAAAGTGGTGGCCATCTCTGTACCATCATCTGCCCTGGGACACAAGGAGAGTTTCCCTTCTCCATCACTTTATTGTGCATCTATATGTCTGCGCAAAGACGAGACTGGCTAAGCATTTGGATTGCTGGTCACCTCATCTGGTATGCCACCTAAAGTTCTATCCTCTTCTTAACACAAGCTATTTTGTCCGTAAACTCGCCTGTAATATCCTTTCTATGTACTTCTCCTTGTTTGCTAATTACTAGTTGTTTTTCCTGTCATATAATGTTTATTTGTTTCCCCGGCCGCTGGATGTACAGCAATGATCGGGGTTGTTCATTCATATACTTTTGTTCTTCGATTTCAGTCCTTTGAAGAAGCAAAAGCTCGAGTACAGTTGGAAAGGCAAGGAAACATATGCTACTTCGAATGATTTCAAGGTTAGATAACAAACAGCGATTCAGTCATGTTTCAGTTACCACAATCTTTATCTTTGTACTGGTAGTAGTTTTAATTTATTCGTTAGACTTCTCATTCAGTCGATGCATATTAGCTGTTCAAAATATGATCAGAATAACTTGGTAGTTTATTTTGAGGATTTCCTCCTTTGCTTTTCTACTAGCTTGATTTGGCCGTTGATACATTGTCATTGTTGCAGTTGTTCTTAAACTCGTTGTTCTTAAACTCCAGTCAATTCATGGAATCACAAGGAAGAGCATGAATGGTCGGAAACATGCAATCTCTATTTAATTTCACAATCAGGTACTTTTTTCCCTATTCCTTTTAATAAGACTTCATCAAGCTTGGAAAGCAAAATATATGTATGTAGATCTCCAAACTCAGTTCTTTTTCATCACGTATTGCTTTGCTCATTTTGATCTTTGAGTTTCTAACCACCCTGAATTTGATAGGTTATACTGATGAATTTTCTCATATTCCGAATTTCTAGAGCATAGTTGAATGGATATTAAATGGTCACCTTCCAACTTCTTTTTATCTGTTTGTATTTTTTTTTTCCTTTCCCTTTTTGAGTCAGCCTCATGTAGCTATTTGGATCGGCAGGTTCGAAAGTTGAGGTCAAAGGACATAGCTTCAGTGAAGGTGCAGTGGAGAGGTCAGCCTGTGGAGGACGCCACCAGGGAGACCGAGCGGGAGATGCAGAGCAGATATCCACACCTATTTGAGACTCCAGGTATGTTTCTAGACTCGTTCGAGAACGAACGCTTGTTTAAGAGGGGAGGATGTAACGACCCGGCCGGTCGTTTCGTGAGTTATAGCCCCGTTTCCCCCATTACTGCTTCTTTTGTGCTTTGCAGCTATATTATATCGTATCGGGTTGATTGGTTCAGGTCCATAGTGGTTTCGGAGTGGAATGAGACACTTAGTCTCCTATTTAGAAACTTAAGTTGGAAAAGTCAACCGGATGTTGACTTATGAGTAAACGATCTCGAATTTGGATTTTTATGGTTCGGTTAGCTCCGTTAGGTGATTTTGGACTTAGGAGCGCGCCCGGAATATGATTTGAAGGTCCGTGGTAGAATTAGGCTTGAATTGCCGAAAGTTTAAAATTTGGCGATTTTGGTCGGCAGTGGAAAATTTGATATCGGGGTCGGAATGGAATTACGGAAGTTGGAGTAGGTTCATAGTATCATTTGTGACATGTGTGTAAAATCTGAGGTCATTCGGATGTGGTTTGGTAGGTTTCGACGTCGTTTGTGGAATTTGGAAGTTTAGAAGTTCTTAGGCTTGAATCCGAGGGTAAATTGGTATTTTGAGTGTTTCGAAGGTTCGACTAAGTTCGTATGTTCATATATGACTTATTGGTATGATTGGTTGGGGTCCCGAGGGCCTCGAGTGTATTTCGGATGGTTAACTGATCAATTTTTGGTGTTGGGAGATAGCTGATCTGCTGGTGTTTGAGGCTGCTGGTGATTTCCGCACATGCAGATGGGGAGCCACAGATGCGAGGCCACAGGTGCGCGTGGGAGTTCGCAGGTGCGGACAGTGCTGAGGTAGGCTGGGTCCGCAAGTGCAGGAAGGCGGTCGCATCTGTGAGCCCGCAGGTGCGAGACCTGGGGCGCAGATGCGGAAGAAGGGAGAATGGCCAGTTCCGCAGAAGCAGAAGGATGTGCGCAGGTGCGGAACTGGGTGCAGGTGCGGATGAGGGACTTAAATGACTTTCCGCAGGTGCGGATGATTTTGCGCAGAAGCAAGACTGCAGGTGCGGATTTTTGGCCGCAGGTGCGAAAGACGTGGGCATAAAGTATAAATAGCACACTTTGCAAATTATGGTTCATTTCCACCATTTTCAAGTCGGTTTTTTGGAGCTTTTGGAGTGATTTTGAAGGGAGATTCAAGGGGTTTTCAGTGAGATAAGTTGCTTGAGCTCTAATACTCCTATCTATGGTGTTTTCTCGTTGTTTTATCAATTAATTTGTGAAAATGAGGGGTTATGGCTTGGGATTTTGGAGAGTTTGATATGGGGATTTGAGGGACCAAATGATGTCGGATTTTGATAAATTTTGTATGTATGGACTCGTGAGTGAATGGGTTTTCAAGTTTTATAATTTTTGTCGGATTTCGAGACGTGAGCTCGGGGCCCGGGTTTGAGCCGATTTCGGGTTTGGGGTCCAATTTGATAGTTTTTCTTGTGGAATTCATTCCTTTAGCATAAATTGATGGTATTGTTCTGGATGTGAATAGATTCGGGGCATTTGGGGGCCGAATCTAGGGTCAAGAGCATCGCAGAGTAGAGTTTTGATCGGTTCGAGGTAAGTAACGATTGTAAATCTGGTCCTGAGGGTATGAAACCTCAGATTTTTGTATCATTTTACTATTTGGAGGTGGCGCACATGCTAGATGACGGGCGTATGGGTGTGCACCGTTGGGGATTGTGACTTGGTCCATCCCGTATCAACTGTAAAGTTTAATATTTTGTTGAAACTATATGATTCTTATGTGTTTTAGAAATAATTTCTGTAAATCAGGCAGGATGCCATGTTTAGGCCTTATGCCAGTGTTGTTTGGACCTTTAGAGGTCTTTTCTTGCTATCCTCTTAGTATTTTCGATTGAAAATCTATATTCAGTCATGTTTATACTTATTTACTGCATAACTTAGGCTCTATTACTCTATTTTTGATGCATCATATATAAACGTTGTTTTGGGCTGAATACTTGATTTCTGAGAGCCCGAGAGGCCGGAGAGGTTTATGACTGAGTGAGGCCAAGGATCTGATTTGTGAGGATATTCATGGGATCGGGCTGCACATTGCAGCATGTTTGATATAGGCCGAGGGCCTCATTGATTTATGTCATGATTGACTTGATATAACGCTTGGGCTGTAGGATCCTCTCCGGAGTCTGTACACACCTCCAGTGAGCGCATGTACCTACTGAGTGCGAGTGCTGAGTGACTGGGAGGCATGAATGATGGTGAGGTTTGCCCGAGGGGCTGTATATGAGTGATGTTTGCCCGAGGGATTGATTATGATTTCATCATTTTTACTCACCTTTGCATTGAGCCTTTGTTTGAAAACTGTTGAAAGATGTCTTTAAATGATTTTACTAGAACTGGATTTAAACGAGCTAATTTGATTCAAACTACTGGTTTTAAAAGCATGCCGTATTTTACTGAGTTTTTGTGATACGAACTTTACTTGCATTATTGCTCGTCACTACTTCTCTGTCTTTATTTACTGTTGTTATTTACTGAGTTGGCGTACTCACGTTACTCCCTGCACCTTGTGTGGAGATCTAGGCGTTTCTGGACACGGTAAAGGCTGTTGATTATTTCTGACGCAGATTCTCAGAGTTAGCAAGGTAGTTGCCTGGCGATCGCAACCCTGCTTTCCACCCTCTTTATCTTCCCTTAGTTGTATTTAGTTATTTCCAGGCTATGTTAGTCTTGATATTGTCAGACGGTTGTACTAGATGCTCATGACTAGTGACACCCCGATGTCGGGGCTTTTCTTTTCCGCACTTTTGTTTTGATTTGAACTCCTTTATGAAGGTTTTATATTGAATAGCTTTGAAATTATGTTTGAAATGAAAATATCGATTTATTTTGGTAATGTGTCGGCTTGCCCAGTACCATGATAGGCATCATCACGACAGGGTTAGTTTTGGGTCATGACAAGTTGGTATCAGAGCTTAGGTTACATAGGTCTCACAAGTCATGAGCAGGTTTAGTAGAGTCTTGCAGATCGGTACAGAGACGCCCGTACTTATCTTCGATAGGCTGCAAAACCCTTAAGAAAAATCTCGCATTCTTGAATTTTTGTCGTGCGAATCCATTGATTCTGGTAACGAAACTTCTATTGTTTCATTGTCTCACAGATGGTGAGGACTCGCACTACCGGACAGGGTAACCAGCCACCAGTACTACCAGCCAGGCCTTCGAGAGGCCGAGGCTGCGATCGAGGCCGTGGTAGGGGTAGAGGTTTAACCCGCACAACAGGCGGGGCAGTACCTGTAGACCCTCCAGTTGCTCCAGACCAGGTCCGAGTCATTGATG